AACGGCTTCAGGGCAACTCGTGCCTTTTTCCTCGGCGCGTGGCCCTGGGAGGTCTTTGCCCCAGTAAAGTTGTCACTGGAGTTAATGGAATTTTTGTCTTAAGTGAAAACAGATTCAGAAACAAAGATAGATCACAAATGCTCTTTATCTGGTGGTATCGGAAAAAAAAAAAAAAGGGAGGGGCAACACAGAAATACGAGAGTTGAAACAAACATCTTTCCATCCTCTCTTTTGTAGTCTTTTATCAGGGAAAAAATAAATCCTGCCCAGCAAAGGGGAAACATTTTCAATTTGCTGCACCAGATTAGATTAGTCGGAAGCTACAAATAGTTACAAATACATCAATGCAGATCACCCGAGGGGTAAATTCTGCCGATAACCACACATAAACAGATGCCTTTCTCTGATGTGAATGAGGCTTGTGATTACTGGAGTATTTATTTTCAGATGATTATTGAGCTACTTTTAATGAGCAAAAATGAAGTTCATTTTGGGGTTTGCTGTTTTAAAGGCACTGAAACCTGCCCTGCTTCCCGCTGTCATTGGTTTTACTTCTGCGCTGCTTCAGTGGTGGGTTTTTTTGCTGGCTTTTTTTCCTCCTCCCTTTGTTTCATTACTAACCCACTCACTTTAAAGCACAGACGTTGTGAAACATCATAACAGCAGCCGTGGCCTGTGCTGTTGGAAATGCCCGCCTGTCCCGGCTGACCTGCGAGGCGGGTTGGGAAAGGTGATTTCCCTCGAGGCGGCGCTGAACCCGGCTGCGGTTGATGGCGGGGGCTCTGCCGGGCGGGCACGCCAGCCATGGGGTCGTGCTGAAATTGTAGACCCGTGTCTTCTACTTGCAGATGATATTTCAGGCCTGTGCTTTTGCAGCTCAGCAGAGTGGATAAGTAGATTGCGTGTATCTTTGTAATGAAGTGTTGATGTGATTTAACTGCTTTTTACTTATCCTGTTACAGCAAAATGTGGTGCCTGTTTCGGAAGCAGGTTTATAATTAGAGCACTCTCTGCAGACTATGTTTAATGTTTCTACTTTTCCTTTAAAGCAGGGAGAAGCTTATAAGGTTAAGACAAAGAAAGAAGTCAGACACGTGGAGAAGAAAAGTTACTCATGAAAGCTGAAAGCCAACCACTGAACGGTCAGTGTGATCAGTTTTCTTCCACTGCTGATGCCTTTTGCCAGCGCAGCACTGCGCGGCACGGGGGCTAGCACCTGGGCGGCGCAATAGCTTGCCTCTGCTACCTTGACACTGCTTTCGAGCTGCAAAGCTGCAGAGATGGCCCTTGATCTTGTAAGCAGAGAATGACCTTGAGTTCACATATAGAAACTGAGATTTCCTTCTTGGAACGTAAAGCAGAGCACTGCTGACTGATGTGTAAGATTTGAGGGAGTTTTGCAAAATCTAGTGTTTGTAATCCGTGACACATTCAACTCCTAAAAGTCAATTTAAACATGAATAGTGAAGGAGCTGCACACCAGTAAACCTGCTGGGAGTGAAAGGCTTCTTTCGCTGTCAGGCACGTGATCTGAGGGCAGTTACGCAAGTCAAAGTCCTTGTAAGAGCCAGTGAAGTGTCTCAATATTTGCCAACAAATAATCCTTACCAACTGTTTCTTGTGAATTTTATTGATCCAGCCTTAACAATTGTAACGAAACACCAGCTGAGAGTGTAAGGCCTTCCCAAAAGAGAACCAAATGCAGAGACTTAAGACACCCTTGCCAGGCTCTGTAAGGGTGTGCTGGAGCACTCTGAAGCCAGAGGCTGCTTTGTCTCGACCACGTCACCACTGCAGTCACCCAGGAAATGTGCCTGCAAATACGGGAGCAGCCAGCCTGGGTCTGTCAGTGCTGGTCAGTCAGCCGTGGCCCTGTGGGTGTTTACCACGTTCACGTCTTTTTTTTTTTTAATCTACTCAGAAGTTTTCTCAGCTTTGGTGGGTTTTAGGAATCGGGCAGAGGAAGAGTTTATGAAGTGAAAGTCTATGTGTAATCCTTTTCCTATACATCTGGTGTGGGTTTGACTGTGGGGTTTAAGAACAGGGTAAACGGGACCTGGGAAACGTACGGGACAGTGATGTGGAGTAAAGGGCAGCAGCGGAGTTTCTCCTGAGTCACTAGTCCCTCCCCCCGAGGGCTGCGGGGTGAGGTAGCCCCCAAAGCCGCCCAGCCGTGCGGGCTTTCTGCGCGGGTGAGTTATGCCGTTTGAGGCCAGCAGCTCTCGGTGTGTGGGATCTAGCTGAGGGCTTTATGGGATCGAGCCCTAAGGAGAGAGCCCTGCGAGGCGACTGGCGGGCTTCCAGCCATCTGGTAGGCACCTACTGCGTCCACCTAGCACGACCGCTGAATTCCTGCTTTTATTGAGCTCTCCCACGTGTGCTAATAGAATAATACCACTTCACGCAGCTTGCTGCTCCACATACTCATAAAATATTTAATGTTTTGAAAAGGGAGGCGATTCTTTCGACATGCCTGTCTCTTTCATGGAGCTCAAGAATACAGAAGGAAAGCGAGCCAAAGGGGTGGTGCTGCTTGTATGAAATTGTGTCCCAGGTTGGCTCCCGTGCTTCTCCGCTGTCAGTCTGCAGAGGGAAACCAGTGGAAATCTGTGAATTCGAAGGCACTGAAGGCAAGATGGGGCACTGAACCCCATAAGCAGTGCGGATAAAGCGCCTGCCGGCATACAAGCGTGATGCAACGTACACTGGGGAAAAGGGAGAAGCACTTAATTTTAAAATAAAATGGCATTATCAAAGCAGTCCTTGCCTAATGCGTGAAACATACTCTGACCTTCAGAAAGCCACTCTTGAGTTCCTCAGAACCACATTTGCTCCCATGACTGCTGATGCATTTCTCTTGTGATTTCCAGTAGGCAACTCTTCCACGCTAGAGCCCTTGAGGAGCTCAAAGAGTTTTGCTTAGATTATAAAGCTTTGTCCCGTAGGATGAACCTCCGTGGTCCGAAGTTTGATATGATAAGCATGATCAAATGTGCATTAAGCAATTGCGAGCCCAGTCACGAGTCTATTGAAAATATTTTATTTGAATGCAGAAGTGGATGTACTTGCACAGACAGGGGATTCCGATAGAAAACCAGTTTGCTTCTTGATCACAAAAGACAAAAAGATCCTGTTTGGGAGGCAGAGGTGTTGCTTTTCCTTTGAATGCCTGAAAAAAATCTCAACGTTAGCTAGATTTTGCTGTAAAAAGGTCTTTGTCACCATTACAAATAAACCCACCGCAAGACAGAGAGTGAAAGGAAAAGCCAAGAACTTTTGCGCGCAGTTCTGCAGGCCGGGCACCACGTGAGCCGCCCTGGCTGCTGCAACGTGTATAGGCGGCTTGTAGCGCCGGGATAGATGCACGGCAGCCGTGGATGCAGGCAAGGACAGATTGTTTGGGCTCCCGTGCCCTGCCTCCCCGCTGCCAGACGTCGCCGTGGTACCACAGACGTCACGAACTCGCTGTCCTTATGTGCATGGCTGTTCTGGGACGGGGGAGAGAGCAGGGGCGGGAGGCCCCGTCCCCCCAGTGCCGTGCGCGGGGGGCGGACGGGGCTGCTCCTCTTCCTCCCTTTGTCCCTCGCCAAGCCTCCGAGAGGCTGGCCTCCGCGGCCCTGGCTCTCCCGGTCACGTTCCCCCAGCGACTGGCAGGGGTGGACGTGCAGGCTTTCCACCGCCGCGGGGACGCTCGGAAACAAACGAACGCGTGCCGCGAGAGCAGCAGCGCTCTCGTTCTGGAGCTGGTGCTATTTCTTCCGCTACAGAGGGTCCCCGTCCCCCGTCGGCGTCGGGTCGGACGAGCCGGTGCTTTGTCTGGGCCGCTGAAACGCAGCGCGTTGCAAACGCGTTTGTGAACCGGTTCACGAGCAACGTGGGCGTCTGCAGCGGCATCTTCCCTTCACGCTGGGAGCTCAGCTAATGTCGTTACCCAGCTAGAAAGTGTGTGATTTATCCTATTGCAGAATTCCATAATGCCAATTAGAACTTTCCCGTGTAGTCAGGGGAAGGCAAGAAATTGATTCTGACAAGATACTCTGAAATGATTTGTGCTATCTTCTCTTTCCGTAGGTCTGTGTGCTTTTACTGCCAGTATTCTAGAGGGACACTCGTGGAAGAAAAATCAACAGGAATTAAACATTCACCTATAAAAGTGTGCGTGTGTTTGCTGCTTCCACACATTAACCGCATGGTTTTTATGCAAAAAAAAAAAAAAAAAACAAAAAAAAACCAACAAAAAAAAACCAAACAAAAAAATTAATTTAGCATGAGCCAATTTACAGAGCATGGAAATTCACGTTCATTCACAGGATTGGAGGGTGCGCCGTTACCAGTGCAGTGTATATACAAGATGCCATGCTGTTAACAGCTTCTTTCGAGCAGTTTGATGTCATCTCAAAAGAAATAAATTCCTGTGGCCAGAGGGGGATGTACGAAGACGAAATGGTTAAACCATGGAAAGACACTAAAATTACTAAAATCCACAACAGCTCGCCTTATTTTTCTTGGACCCAAACTGTCAGGGTATAAAACACTATTTGTTTCTTTTTTAAACATCAATAGTTTTGCTGTAAATAAATAACACTGTATAAATTCTAACAAAATAGAATAAATGTTGATAAGGCACTGCCTTTTCGATCACAAACAGAATATTGCAAATGCATTGAGCAGGCTAGGTGTCTCAAATGGCTGCACCTACAGGGATATTCTGGGTGTATCTTCACAGATTCTTGTATATTAGCAATTATAATGTTTGTATATGCAAAAACGCTAGCTTGATTTTAAAAAAATCTTTAAAATCTGCTGCAAATTTAAATGATTCCCAAAATGAGGAATTCTGTAGTTCTGTGAAAATTTTTCTTCAGAGTACTAATATTTTGATGCATGTGTTTCACCTTATTTTGATTAAATCTTTTCCAGTTTTGCAAACACTATACCGCAACATGAAAAATAAGATTTTATCTGTAAACACAAAGCCCTTCATCTAATATTTGTTGCTGTTGCCAATTTTCAATGAAATGACCTAAAACCCATAACATATACAGTAGTTGCATTACGGGGAGGGGGGTGCTATCTGTTCTCGCTTTATAACGGGGGTAATGCTTGCAGCTTTAGAAGTGGGTTGGTGCTCTCAGGAGCACAAGTTTGGGATGTTTTTAAATGAACTGAAGAGAAATTATTAGCTAATAGACTGGCAGCACGCTGTAAAATTATTACTGTATTGTGTACTGGCTATAAGATGTAGAATCTTTCAGTAAGCCAATCATCTGTAATCATCCTAGCAGTGTAATATTAGGTTGTTAAGGCTGCTGTGTTTTAAAGGGCATTTTTATTTGGGTTTTGGTGAAATACTTTAATTTGTTGATTATATTCATATGGAAACAGCATCCATTGATAATAGCTCTAATTACATATGTATGAAAACAACAAACACTGGATGATCTAGTTGATTATTTAAGCATAAAATAAATTGTGTTAAAACTCTTGGATAACGTGCATTTGGCCGTGTTCTTGCACCCCGTAGGCGTGCGGCGTCGCGAGGCCAGCTGTTAACCACCCACCCCTGGCTTTTTGCTGCTCCTCCTCTCGGTTTCTTTTGCCCGACCCACCTCCTCGTCTTCCCCGTGTGGCAGGCCGTCCCCTGGCCGGCTGGCTCCAGGTGGGGGCAACGGGAGGAGAACACGGCACAGCCAGCCACGTCCTCAGCAGAGCTAAGGAGACCCACCTCCGTGGGACGTGGGAGAGCCCGCGGGCGCGGGGAGAGGACCTGTGCCAGGGGGGTGGGCGCAGGCTCCTCTCCAGCGCGTGTTAACTCCTCGGGACTTCCTTCCGTCTCTTTCGCCCCATCGGCAACCAGGAAAAGCACTGCCGAAAGCAGCATTGGTGGGACCAGCAACCAGCTCACTGCAGATGATGTCAGTAAAGTGTACATCCCCTGTACATTCCCTGCACTCACTGTGTATTATAGGTGATGGACTACTACATAAAAATATATATATATATATATATATATAAAATCTTGCCAGTTCAAAGCTTTGTAGTCAGCATCACCACACGCTTGCTGCACTGGACTGCAGGCTTCTGCTTGGGTGCAACAAATAAAATTTATTACTCAGGGTCGAGTTTTACCTGGCTTTTAAGGCAACGTGAAGGTGACGTATTTTCCCCCAGCTTGGCACCCGAGGACAACTCAGCCTCCTTGTCTTTACCTGCTGACCCACACGGGAACCGGTCCTCACCCGGGGTCAGTCAGCAAAGCTCTCCTGGCTGTGGTGAAAGGCACTTGGCTCCAGGAGAGCATAACAGGTTGGTTTGCCGGTGTTTCTGAGCTGCTGGGGCTGCCAGCTTTTGAAGTAGGGACAGTAAGTGAAGCGGTTTTCATCATCTTAGTCAGCCAGTCTGTGTTGCAGTGCCTGTTTTACCTAGGTCAGGATACCGCTGGTACAACACTGCTGGTTCTGGTCCTTATGCCAGAGCCCGGAGGGCAAATGCCACTTGCGCCACCGGAGAACAAACACATCTTATTGCAGGTCACAGTCCAGCAGCAGCGATCGCGCTCCTGGAGAGCTCGCCGTCCAGGCGCCTGCCTCCCACTCCCAGGTACCCAGATCAGCTGAATGAAAAAGGATGTTTTCCCTAAATGGGGTGCAGATGTATATATTTAATATTACATTGTGATTTTACATCTGGAAGGCGAGGCTGTGGTGACCCACCGGCCGGCAGGCAGGAGCAACGCTGCGGGAGAGCCTCACTTCACCCCTCCGGAACAGCACCCAAAAGGCTGTTTGGCTGTTTTGACGCTCCAGTCGACTCCCTTCCCTGCCCGCTGCCCGGTGCCCCGCTCGCGCCCGGCGCCGGCGGGGAAGCAAGCCCTGGTCGTACCTGGAGCGGTGGCTCTGGCAGGCAGCAGCTCTCTGTGCGGACAGAGGAGCGGTGCTGCCCGTGCGGGCAGCGCGGCACCTGAGCAGGCTGCGACCACGGCGGAGGGTCTCCGGGGCCAGCGGCGGTCCCAGCCCTCCAGCTCCTGCCGCGCCGCCGGCGGCTGCCTCCCCCGAAGCGCTGACACCGCGGAGACGGTGAGGGTTGGAACGGGAACTCCGGCGCTGAATCTGCAGAGTTTAAAATAATCGCATTAAACGTTGCACGAGCAGGGTTTTCCGGGTGCTGGTTTGTTTTGCACTGAGTGTATTGGTTCCAGCGGTGGCTCGGGATATTTGGGAAAAAACAAGGGTGAAGCGTGAGCAGTCATTTGAGAAAGAAAACAGAAATCTTGCCAGTACTAGCAAAAAGCACAGACGGCCTTGGAGTGAGCGAGGGCTCTACCTCTCACATGTGCTTTTGTCTTTTTTTCATATTTTCTTCAGTGAGAACACTCCCCTTAGAGACAAAATTGTAAGTCATGGAATTTTTATTGCATGTATTAAAATAAACTCGATTGCTAAATACAGCGTTCTTTTCATCCTTTCACATTTGATTTAGCACTACCTAATAATAATGCTGCAGAGTATCCTACTGTACTTTTTCCATTTCTGAAAGAATACCAATTACATTTTATTTGTGGCCGGTAATAGTTTTAATGTCAGAAATTCTAAGGGCTCCCGTAGTGCGGAGCTGACATTAGTGGGATAAATGGCAGTTGCTTGCAGGACTGCAGCACCCTGCTAATTAATGCTAATTTCCGGGGGGGTTGTTTAACACGGGCTTTGTCTGTGGCGAGCACTGTGCAGGAAATCGAGCCGTGCTCTAGCGGGGGCTGCTGCAGCCTGGCGTGCGGGGCACACGCCCCCCCAAACCTCTCCATGCCCGCTGTGGAAGGAGTTTATAACCGGGGCTTCTTAGGGCTCAATCAAGTCGATAAAATTTGATGAAACTCACTGAAGTCCGTCAGTGGCAATTTTTATCGCGTCACCTCTACAATGACGGCAAACTCGGCGCGAGTATCTCGGCTGGGGGGGAATCGGGAGCCTGGGTGGGGGCAGCCCTCCCGCCCCCCCCGCCCTCTCCCCAGGAGGGGGGTGCGAGCCGGGGGGCTGGGGGTTGCCCGGCTGAGGCCGGAGCGGGGATCCCGGGCAGGGTATCGGGCGAGGGGCTCGACCTGTGTCCTGGCTACGTGCACAGCACGTGAAAAAGCCACTGCCAGCCCATTGCAGTTTTCCGACAGAGACGCAGACCCTAAGGTAGGGAGAGGGCAGAAGGGAGAGGTGGACCCAGCCTGCTACAAAGTGCTTGACGTAAAAAATAGACCATTACTGGGAGGGAGAAAGGTTAGTAGAGGACAGAAAAATGAGCTGCTCAAGAAAAATCTAGGTACGTGCCACATTTTTCATAACCGCTGAGGCTAAAAACAGTATGCTAATTGTGTGTGGCTTTATTTATTTGACCCCAAGTCCTAGAGGAAGACGAAGATTTATAATAAAAGTTTTATTGGTACTTTTCCCATCACGCTAATGTTCAGTTATTGAGAGCCATTTGGGCTATAAAACTGCAACGCACAGCGATCTCCCCTGTTCACCAATTTCCTTGGAAGGCTTCCAGAGGCTGGATGTCCTTACGGCACGGCCAGGCCCACAGAACCAACCTACTATCAGCTCTGAGAGAAATTCCCTGGGAGAAGCAAAGCCCCGGAGCTGAAGACGTGTCAGCTACAGGGTGGCTACCGCGTGGCACGTTTCCACAGTCAGATACTCTACCCCGCGCAGAGCCTTCTTTTCCGATACAGGTTTCTGATTAAATAATTGTTGGTCAGAAAAGCAAAGCAGCGTGGCGTTGTTTACCTCTGAACTGCATGTTAGAAAACCTGTTTTATCCTGCATCGACAGACACTTTAATCCACAATATTGGTGAACTGGGGCTTTTTCTGCTCATACGAATATCATTCCAATGGAGGATTCTCCCCTTCAACAACCCTCCCACAATGGTAACATCGCCACATAGGGGCTCCATCTTCCCTTTTGAATATTCCCTTGTATACAGGTCATAATTTTTTTATTTATGCTCATTCAGTTTATTTTCCTAGGATTATTTTCCATTAATTGCATTTTAATGCGACTTTGCCTTTCCTTATTTTTTTTTTCCCCCCCTCTATTTCAGTCGGGTACTCTGAGTACCATACCAAATTTTTCCTGGGGTTAATTAGCCTCAGTTGGTCTTTTTCTCTTCAGTCTATAACTACTGAATATTTTAATAAAATTATATTGTTATAGAAGGCCTTCCAGCTGATTAATGGACCTCTGGAATTATATTAAGGATTACATTAAATCTCTGAACATACCTCTTCTAACCCCTCATGCCTAGCAATGTATTTTATACAAATATTTCAGCTGTTGATGTGAGTTTATGAAGCACTGTTTCTAATTGCCCATTACCTCCTGTAGTGATAGTTTCTGTGAATAAATTCCTGCCTTTTTATTGCTGCTTCTTGACGTGAGTATCAGCTTTGCGACTATTATAGTGCCGGTGACATTTTGAGATTCTTTATTTGGACCAACACCTCCCTTGCCCCCTTACAGCTTTGCATTTATTTTTTTGTACAATAAAAAAATACTGGGGCGAGGAGCGTGGGGACCTCGTCGTGCAGGCGCTGTGGTGGTGACAGGCTGGTCGTGGTGGCTTTGACTGCCCCGTCGAGCCCCTCGCCGCCTGCAGCCGGGCAAAGCTGCAGTGCGGGGCAGCCTCTGCCGTGCACCCTCAGCCTTTAAAAGGGGGGTTTGCTAATTGTGCTTATACCGCATAGTTATACTTTTTAATTGGTTTGGTTAACGTCTTACAGATGCGTAAAGCATGTGATTTTTTTGTGAGGAGGGGGGATAACTAGGATAAAATTTTCTCTCCCTGTTTAATCTATTAATTTGGAGTAGTTGGCTGTAGTTGTAATTCAATATGCGGGTGTTATTTTTTAAATGACTGAACTGTTGTTATGACAAGAGGGATGCTGTCTCAGATCTAAACAGCAAGGGCCCTTGAGTTTTCCTCCCACTCCCCCACTGACTCAATGTTTGTCATTGGGCAAGTACCTCAGCTCACTACCTCCCCTTCTTGCCTTCCGGGGCTATTGTGCGAATTAATTAGATAATGTTTCAGCACAGCTTTGAACTGGAGAGTTCTGCAGAAGTGCCAAGTTATAATTTATTGTTATGAAAGCCGGCGTTGCTGGCTGGGAGCGAGACCTCTGATGCAAGCCCAGCAGAGAGGGACGGCGAGGCGGCCGAGGGAAAGCTCCCCTCTCGCCTCGAGATCCCTCCTCTCCGTCCCCGCCGCCTTGCAGCACCTCCAGCCCGCTCCAGAAACGCTCTGCGAGTGGCAGCCCCGGCCCCTGCGCGGTGTGACCCTGGGCACACAGCCCCCGGCCCAGCCCGCCCGGCCCCACAGCAGCGCTGAGGACGCCGCCCGCACCTCCCGCTCCGTTTTCAGGCTAGTTTGGGTATCTGAAGGAGCGGCGGCCACGTCCGCTGGAAAATTATAGCTCTCCAAATCAGCAAAGCACTTAAGATTAACGTTGATAGGTCTGAAGAGTGGCTTAAGGTTAAGCATGCCGTGGGGCTCGCTGGGTAAGATTAGCCCAGAGCAGATGCGTGTTTTGCTGATGCAGGTTTTCAAAATATTTAGGCCTTGATTCAACATGACGCTCAAACGTGAGCAGCCTCACTGAAGGCAATGGAAATAACTGGCTGATCAAAGCCGGGCAGCTGGATGAAGAAAGAACACGAAGTTGCAAACCTGTCTGTTTAGAAATGAGTTTGCTTTGAGGAGCACGTGTGCGTGCGGACGGAGGCGACGGAGCAAACCGGCTCGCGCTGCCGGCGCCAGCGCTGCGGAGTGCGTACCTGAACCGACGCTTCCTCACCGCCCGGCTGTGTTCGGCCAGCTTCCCAAATACCCGCAGACCTATTTAAAAGCAATTCTATTAAATTGTAACAAAACAGTGCCCGTTATTTGTCAAGTCCTGATTTTAACCCCTCTCGGGCTTTTTATCCCAAACAAAGCTCGTGCTGGTGGCGAGGCTCAGCCCGGGCGCTGCTGTGGGGCCAGGGAGCCGGCGGCCGCCCCGGGCGGTAGAGCTTGTCCTGCCCCTGCAGACCCAGGGGTTGCAGGGGGGTATTTCAGGAGAGCACCGAAAAGCTCTCAGGAGACCTCGTGGACATCACCTGGCTGGTCTGTGGAGCCCTGTGCACCTATAGCAGCATCTCTCGATGCCGATGCTCTTACGTTTTGGGAGGAATCACACCTTAACAGAGCCCAGGGACTGGAGATCCAATTAAAGGCATCTCTGGGCTCAGTATGGAGGTAATGGGATGCAGGAGTCTGGCTCATTTTCCGCAGGGCCGGGCGGGTGGTGCAGGAACCTTTCAAGCCATAAAAGCCCTGTGCAGGGGCAGGGCTGTGCCAGCGCTGGATGGGGACCCCCATTTCCCAGCTCCCACCCCATTTTGAGCTGTGTTTGCATGGCAGAGTCTTGTGCCGGGGTCCGATGGGCAGGCGTCGCAGAAGACGGTACCTGTGCCTGAAAACTTGGAACGGCCCTTTTACTGCTTTTCTTGTGCTTAAGAGACCAGAAGTAAAATGACCTGCACTTACATTCCCAGGCAGGGAAAAAGAATAATTACTTTACAGAGATGGAATTCCTTCATATATTACAGCCATTAAAAAGAGTAAAATTTGAAATTTACTGTGGCATGGAACAAAATAGGTAGTGCAGTTACAGATAATGAAATCCTTACTTGCCATTAACGGAAAAATTACTGTTGTTAAAAGTCCCCTTCATAAATAATTGAGAAACCAATTATACAGTCTTGGTGACTAATTTATCCAGGAGCAATACGGACCACATTATGCCATATAATGAATGGCACGTACGCGCCGTTATATCTCGCTGCAACTCGTGCCTTTATTCAGCTGCTCGGTAAAGAAATAATAAAAAAAAAAAAAAAGGAACCTAATGCACATACTGATCAGGAAATACATTCTCTGGAATGAGAGATGGGCGCTAATATATCTTAATTTAAAGCGGTTTTACAGACGTACAGAGGCCTGAATTCACGTGCCGTTTAGTCCCCGTGCCGTGAGGGGGAGCGGGGCTGGGGGCCGCGGCCACCGCCATGTTCCCCCTTTCTCGGCGGGGTGGGGGGTGACCCCAGCCCCGCCTGCCCAAACCCGGGGGTCTCTGTGAGCAGCGCCCCGCGTGTGGCCAGGCGGAAGGGAGCCTGGAACTGGGGGGCACAGCTGGAGGCACAGGGCAGCCCTGGGGGCCTCTCCTGCCCCACGCACTCCCCACGCTCACCTGGCAACGCTGCCTGCGTCCGGACATGATTTTACAGACGGGTTCTTTTAGAACAGCAGGTTTTCGGTTGTCTGAAATGCGGATAAAGGAACGCCGGGGGCTCTGGCCTTGCGCCGGGATCCGGAGCAGGGCGCTGCGGCGGGGAAGCCCAGGGCTTTCCTACACGGTTTGAGCGAGGAGCGGTTTTTCCTACATACTGAGGTAAAAAAAACAGGGTTTTCGTGCGAGCTGCTCGCCACGGGTAATGTAATATTTAGACGGAGCCTTCCGCGCAGAAGCCGTGACATCGGGGCCGTCTGAGCCGGCGCTACAAGTGATTTTTTTTTTTTTTTTTTTTTTTCCCTCCTCGCCGCTGGGACACGCAGAGCGGGCGGGCGCTGCCGGCGCGGGCCGGCAGGCGGCGCTGTGGGCGGGCGGCGCGGGCGGGCGGGCCCCTCTTGGCGCGCGGGGAGGCGGCGGCGCCGGCGCGCGGCGGGCACCGCCCCCCGCTCCCCCCCCCCCCCGCCCTCCCCCCTGCTCGCCTGTCGGCGCGGCGGGCGGGAGGGAGCGGCGGCGATGGCGGACAGCGCCAGCGAGAGCGACACGGACGGCGCTGGCGGCAGCGGCGGGGGCGGCGGCGGCCCGGCTGGAGCGCTGGCGGCGGGCGGCCCGGCGGCGGGGCCCGGCTGCGGGGTGGCGGGCGGCGGCGGCGGCGGTTCGGTGGGTAAGGCGGGCGGGATCGTGATCTCGCCGTTCCGGCTGGAGGAGCTGACGAACCGCCTGGCCTCGCTGCAGCAGGAGAACAAGGTGCTGAAGATCGAGCTGGAGACCTACAAGCTCAAGTGCAAGGCGCTGCAGGAGGAGAACCGCGACCTGCGCAAGGCCAGCGTCACCATCGTGAGTGCGGGCGGCGCCGCGCCGGGCCCGGCGGCGGGCGGGAGGGCGGGCGTGTGGGGGGACGCGGGTGGGGGGGGTCGTCCGTGTGTGTTAGGGGGGAAGGAACGGGTGCCCCGCCGCGGGGGTGTCCGCGCAGGGCGGGCCCGGCCGCCGCCTCCCTCCCCTCAGCCCGGCCGCGGCCTTCCCGCCCCGCCGCTCCCTCCCCGGGGGTGGCGGTTGGGGCGAGTTTACCTCAGGCGGGCCCGGCTGTCACCGCCCTGGGGCGGGGGGCGGGCAGGTGGGGTCACCCCGCGCCCTTCCCGCCCTCCCTGCGCCCTCAGCGGGGACACACCGGGAGGGAAACCGGCGAGGAACCGCGGTGGTTGCCCCGCCGCCCCATAGCCGCGTGGCCGGCCCGGCGCTCCGAGCGGCCGGGGCTCGGGGAGGGGAGGGAGGGGAGGGGAGGGGAGGGGCGGCAGGGTTTTGAGGTGAGGAGCAGCGGGGGCCGTGCGGAGCAAGAGCGATGCTGGATCGTTCCCTGAAGTTTCTCAAAGTAGAGCTTTTTCTTCGCATATAAGTAATCTGCGGAGATTACGGATTATCTCGTCAGCCGTCACCTCTTCAGCCACCGTGTGGAAACAGCGAGTTGCAGGGTAGCGTCTTAGTCGTGAAGAAGCGTTTGATTTATTTGCACTGTTTTGTTAGCTGTGGTATTTCAAGAGGTTATTTAAAAACTCATTTAAAATAAACCCCTTTAAAACAATGTGAGTAATGCACTCACACACACCACCCTGTCCTGAGAAGAGGTTGGCTACCGGTTTATGAACACTACGAGGATGATTGGGAGTTTAACATCATTTTATAGGATGCTGTTTGGCGTCAATCCTCAGTAAAGTACGTAGGACAATACAGTGAATGTGACATTGTTTTCTATGAGTTGGGAGTTCAGGAGTTTAGATCGGGGGTGTTTTTGCTAATTCAGTGGTTAGTGTGATTGTTTAGATGTAGTAATGATCATGGCCTGCATGCAAACAAAGTAGGTAACACGTTAAAGACAGATAAAGGGTAGCCCTGATCTTTGTATAGGCTCTCCTGTACATCCTTGCCAGTGCGGATAGAGATGCCTTGAGAGACACCGATCCCACCTGCATGTGCTCTTCCTCTTCTGGTCTGATTTTTCACAGGGGTTACTTTATTACAAATGTAACAGCTATATTATTGATAAACAGTTTTTAGATGGTCAGTATATCTAGCAAAGAAATGGGGCTCGTCGAGGCAAACCTCTCATCTGTTCCCAGTAGTAAACATTCAGTGTCTAGCAGGATGTGGGCCGGAAGAGTGCATGAAATACAATACAGAAGTAATTTATTCAAGGATGACAAATATAGTCCTAGTTGGGGAAACGTGTTCTTTGTTAATACTTTATGAGAAGCGAACGTGTCTTAATTAGGTAGTGGCATAGTGCCTTCTAATGTTGAAGGGGGCTAAGACATCTTGTCAGTCAGACATTTTCTCTTTGCCTGTTAGAAAGACACAGCATCCTTCTGAACCCCTGGTAGGGATATTGTTTGTAAACAACTCGAAAAAAATGTTCGTGTACATTGAAGTTCTTTAGGTGCCATCTTTAGGGACTGATTATCTTATATTTTCGTCAGATTTTAATTTACAAAAAGGAAGCATTTTTCTGAAATCTAAAACTCGGTGTGTATGCTTTTGACATCTTGGATACAGAGAGAAAAGGTGTTAGACTTTTATAGCAACCTGCAGGCTGTCTGGAAAACTGGCATCTTTAGCAGACACTCTGTCTTTGGTATGCTAAACTGTGTGCACAACTGAGTAAACCACTTCTAATTCAGCAAGTGGTGAAATAATGAATGCAAAACATAACTTTTTTTTCAGGCCACTGAGACTTTGTGCTGTGGTTTACATAGTCCGTAATGTAAACACATCTGCAGTCAAAATGCTTTGTTGTGTTGCTCTAGTATACAAGTGGCTGGAGATGAACTTTATTGGAATGCTGAAATGTGTGCCATTTGCATGCAAATGTAATTAAATAGAAAGTTTTCTGATTTTCTCCATTGTGATTCTAAACCTTCGTCAATTTGCTCCTCCGCCAGCCAGCTCAAGCTCCTCGCCCTGTTGCCATGCTGGCAGACGGGTGCTGCATACCGGTTTCCTGTTGTAGACATTGTAGTGTCACGAATCAGCTTTGATTTTTATCAAGTTCCAATGAGAAGTTACGAAGCGCGTCTGAAGCTGACAGGTAGCCCAAGTAGCAGGTGAAATGTCTAAACCTGTGTGCTGCAGGTGAAGGTGACCGCTCGAACCGTGCGGCTCTTCATCCGCCAGCCTTTCGCTGTCCCGTCACTTGAGCTCCATTGCGTGAGTACCACAGAGGCTCTTCCCTCTCTCTAGCTCCTGCCATTGTCTTCAGTGGTTTTGAATATTTTCCCTTCAGGATTTACCAGGTAGAAGGTGATGGTCTTCTTCCTTCCTCTTATGTCTGTGCTGGTGTAGGTGTTAGTATGACATCTTTGTTTCCGTGTTTGTGAGTAGTGTTACTGGTGTCAGTGTGGATGTATGCAGTTTGGGAGTGGTTTAAACAGCTCACTGCAGAGGATCCTATTAGTTCTCTTTTGTAGCTAACCCTTGTGTCATAGGGTTGAAAATAAGCGTTAATTATGCATAGGAGACCTACGTTAAGTAGTTGCACTTGGAAAACTGACTGAGGAAAGGTGTCGACTTGGCAGGCTTGTATGCTCGCTAACTTTATGTGAACTCTCATCTAAAACATGTAAAAACAGATGTTACTTTAATACTGAAATTGGTAAAACTAACTTGGACTAAGTGTACGTCCAAGAAGATGTGCAAACTCCACGCCTTCCAGTGGACTGAAATGCAGATGAAATCATGCCGCTGTTCATGTGCAAGACTGTGAAATTAAGTAAATGTACATGATAACTATCTCACCTGCTATTATCAGTAACAAACTTTGAGGGAGGGAGCAAAGCAGGGAGAAAGCTAGGTAAATTTTGAAGTGTTACTGAGCAGCGCAAGAGCGTTACGTTACAGGATGCAAAGTTTCAGATCAAGTATTAAGAAATAACTGAGACCACTTGACCCATTTGCAGAGAGATAATTTATATGTGTTTAGCAATCTTTAATCGTATGATCTCATGATATGTTTCGGCAAGGTCTTTTTTAGGAAATGGAACAGATGGTGCCTAGGTTGGGAAAAATCACACACCTGAAGATGTGTGATGTGCTTGAGATGTGAAGTAGTGAGTTTTGGTTATAGTGCTGCATTACCAGAAGTGGATTTCCTGTGTGAACTTCCTTAATGTTTTGGTGGAAAAAGGTCTACCGAAGAGTTGTCCCATATAAGGGACTAAGACTGGGACAGCACAACTTCTCTAGTTCAATAAAAGTACCGTCAAAACTGAGCAATGGTGGTGGTGGGTTGACTGCTTTTCAAACGATTGAATTGTTGCGTGTGACAAAAGCTGAAATATTTCAGCTGGGTGTAGGTATGTCTTGGTCAGGAAGTTTCTTTTGAAGTTGGTAGAACTTGGATTTCCAACTTGTTTTTTTTCTCTTTTTCAGTGTTTGATATAACAAAGTCACCCTATTTCAGTGAAAGCCATGAAGCCTTTAACTGATACTTAAATATTTTGGTTTTCTTTGTTATTGTTTTGAGCTGACAGGCCTCATACAAACAGAGTGCTTTTAATAACAAAAAGAGTTTTAGTCCCTGACTGCTACAAGTACATACATGCTTACTCTTGGTTGTTAGATTCAGTAATTTGTGTAAATTGGCCGACTATAGTCAGGCATCTTCTGTAGTGTTAGAAAATTAAAGCATAATAAGCCTTATTCTATTATTTTTTTTTTTTAACTGAGATGAAGATAGTGTATTTGAGAAGCCTTAATTTAAAAATGTTCCTCCTGAAGAATGCTTGATGTAGCAGTTTTAATGCTTTGTAACATGGATTTTACAGGAACAGCTTATCAGGGTTTTTTCCCCCTCAGTTTGCTCTGTAGGGAAGGGAATTATCCTAGGAATCCCGACTTGTGGTGCTGAGTGGATCCCCAACAGGATCATCAATTCAGATGAGACAGTCTGGTCCAAAATGCTAATGGCATAAGTAACACTTGGATGCTGGTTTTTGTGGGCTTGCCGCGAGTTATGGCTGCCTGGTAGTGACTGCTGCAGCCCTGGCTGCCAGGGGCCGATGGGCCCTGGGACTGCTGTGCGCTGCTGTGGGCAGGAGGGGCAGGGTTTGACTGAGACACCTGGGCTACCCTTGTCTCCATAGCTCAACCCTGTGCCTCTGCACCTCGGCTCTCAGCTTGACTTTTTTCATTCCCTGGGCGCTAGCAGAGGTCAGTTCCATCTCTTGGTCTTCGATGTGTTTCTGCGGAGC